TGGACCAATATGTGGACCAGTGAGTGGACCTTTGTGTGGACAGTGAGTGGACCAATATGTGGACCAGTGTGTGGACCAGTGAGTGGACCACTGTGTGGACCAGTGAGTGGACCAGTGTGTGGACAGTGAGTGGACCAGTGAGTGGACCAGTAAGGGGACCGATATGTGGACCAGTGAGTGGACCTTTGTGTGGACCAGTGAGTGGACCAGTGAGTGGACCTTTGTGTGGACCAGTGAGTGGACCAGTAAGGGGACCAATATGTGGACCAGTGAGTGGACCAATATGTGGACCAGTGAGTGGACCAGTAAGTGGACCTTTGTGATTTCTTAATTTAAGTGTCTTGTTTTTTCATTTGGACTTGGTTACTTGTTCAAGAAAGCAGCCTTCTCTTGTTAAATGTGAGTTTCATTTGTGAATATCATTTGGTTGCTGGTTGTTTGTTTGCCATAACCTGTTTCTTGATTCTTTTGGCCCGGTTTTAATTTGTATTTGCTACTCCTCTCCTCAGCTCTGGGCTTGAGCCACCTGAGGACATAACAACTTGTGATTTAAACTTGTTCTTTCTGATCGACCTGTTTGCTTTATGATGAGAAACGATTAACATACAACTAGCTGAAGAATATGTTGTTCTGTAGCATATTTAAATCTTATATTATCGTTATATGTAATATCGGGGAGAGCTCTGGTCAAAATAACAAACAGCTCCTGAGTAAAAAATAAAATCACAATACTAAATAAATTACCCCAAAAGAAAAGTTACAATTCCAAACATAACTTCCTCTCAACACAACAAGAGAAATGGGAATGTAACTACAATGGTTGCTGGGTTTCCTGGGAAGGATGATTAAAAAAACAGGTTACTTAAAATAAAATCACCATTCTGTACTTAACCTTAACAACAACTCAGGAGCTGTGGTCACAACATCACAACACACAAACACTCTGGCTGACTGCAAAAACTGTATTTTCTATTCATGTTTAGCACTTTATTGTAATCATGAGCTGAATGCAGGACATGATGTAAAACTGGTATAGACAAGAACATTTAAAAACCAGTAAAATTTTGAGCACAATATAATATATTATTCAGGAAGTAGAAAGTCTGTGCACAAAGTAACAGCAGCTAAAACACTAAGCACTGTAGCACACACCGCTGGCGTGTCTTCATTTAGTCATCACTAATCGAGGAAGTCACCTTTAAGCTCGACATTCATCAGAGTGAACCAGCTCCTGTGAACACGATGGAGTTGATGTTTATCGCTGTGCTGTCGTCTCTCTCTGTGGTGATCTCTGCAGGTAGGTTTCTGCTTGAGGGAACAGGTAGATTACAGGCTGTTAATTGATTTAAATAAACTGCAGGTCCGCCCGGTGCCTTTATTTGGCTCATTAACGAGTCGGACAGAGGAGATTTAAATGAGATCGCTGAATCTTCCTCATATGACTGCACATTGTTTCGACATTGTCAACAGTCACTGAGCAACAATCACAAACATTTCATCTTCAACAGTGACGGATGCTTTTAAATGCCGCACACGAATCCTGTAAATGTAATCACTGCTCAGCAGCTGACTCCACACGAACTTCACGCTGTAGCGGAGCAGGGAGGGTGCAGAGGGTGCCGATGTCCCGGTCCCACGGTTCATATTTTGAATAGGCTAAGTTTGTTTGTGTCTTGATTGCGGAAAAAAAAATACAACTTAGACTCACCACACAAATTAGTTTATCTTTAGAAAGGGTAACATTTCACGTTCCCCTTTAAAACTGTGTATTAATTTTACTCTTTAGGCTACTCCAGTATTTTTGGTGGCAAGTAGCTAATCTACTTTTTTTTCTTTCATTACAACCTGCTACCTACTGGAGGCCTATATTTTGCTGCATTAAATGAAATGTGCTGTCATCCAAGCCTCGCTGTGCAGGAGATCTCCGGTGCGCTTGTGTCTGATGAGCTGGGCAGATGTAAACAGAAAATCAGGCAAATGCCTTTTTTTAATTTAAGGTTAGGTTGTTTTTCTAATACAACTCAAATCCAGCACTGTGCCACAGGTGTTAGAAAGCAGTCTGCATCGCTCTAAGTCGACATTTGTTCTCTGTAAAACAAATGTATGCTACACGCTGTAACATCTAAGTCTAATTCGCATTACCTTTTGTTTTATTGGTCTAACAGTCTCCCACTACTTCATTCAACAAAGGGCTTCCGTGGTATTGCCATACTAATTATTTAGGCTACGTAGTAAAGATTATGTTCATATGATTTATGAATTATCCAGAGTTCGCAAAGGACCTCTAGTGGTCCGTTAAACAGGGCGCTTTTTCACACTAATTTCTAGGACAAACAAGGGGAAACCAAAAAACACCTGACAGGCTGTAAGTTGCTTTCACACCTGCAGTTCGGTTCATCTGGTCCTGACCAGGGGAAAAACTTATGCACGGTTGCATTTTAGTTCTGGTCCGGTTCATGTTCACCCTGCCTTTTTGCAATCAAACCGAGACCATAAAGTTACAGACTGTCAGGTAACTCGTTGACAGTTTTGGCGATTGTCATCCTGCATCACCAGTGGCAGTTTATGCAGATCTGTAATGCTTCGGATGCAGGCTATATTTCTCTTCTTGTTGTTACAAAGAGCTCACGAAGGAATAACTAATTAGAAGGAGAGGGGTAAAGCGGTGTGAAGAAGGTCGTGGGTTCGAACCCCGACCATCCCGGCCTTTCTGTGTGGAGTTTGCATTTTCTCCCCGTGTCCGCGTGGGTTCTCTCCGGGTGCTCCAGGGCTTCCTCCCACCGTCCAAAGATATGCGGACTAGATTAATTGGTTACTCTAACTTGTCCTTAGGTGTGCGTTTGCCTGGTTGTTTGTCGGTGTGGTCCCGCGACTGGCGACCTGTCTAGGGTGTACCCCGCCTTTTGTCAGCTGGGATTAGCTCCAGCCCCCCGCGACCCTGTACGCAGGATAAGCGGTTCACGATGGATGGATGGATGGATGGATGGAGAAGGGGAACCGTGTACAGAAATTATTTGGGGCTTTTCTGTGGGATCACTGTCACGCGCTTTTAAATGGACTTAATGAACTGATACAGTAATATGGCATTTATTACTGTGCTGTGAAATTGTGAAATGAGTCTGGTTAAGTTAGAGTTCCGCATGTCTAGACCTGGCGCTGTCCAGAGTACTGAAAGGGAGCGGAAGAGACCGGTAGAGAGTCACTACACGTGCTTAGTTCCGGGCCTCAGCCTGTTTGCTTTTCCTGGTTGTAAATGTAACTGTTGGCGCAGTGCCGATCCTGCCTTATACAAAAGCTTCGCAACTTTATATTAATTAAATAATAATTAACACAACTCTACTCCCTCTCAAGACCTATTTGCACTAAACTCCCTATCATCACACTTCATAACAGTGCGGGACGTGGGAAAGTATTATACATTTGCTATAGCCTACTTCTTATAGTTTTATTGCTCATATATGAAGGAAGAACGCCCTTTAAAAACTTTCATGTGGAAAGCATGGACAAAACCTCAGAAAACTCTCCTCAGTAAAGCTCAATGACACTGGAAGATACAGATGCTCCTTTCACAGTGATGAACTGCAGAAGAGTTGTTACATTAACCTCACTGTTGGCAAGTTCACTGAAGCTCTTAATGTCTGGCCCGGGTACTAAAAAACAGTCTGTGCTGAAAACAGCTGCTGCCTGTCGTATAAAATAAATAAATAATAAAAGTAAGTTAAATATAGTGTGGAGAGATAAATCAATCCATAAATTTACCTGTATGATAGTAAGTGATAAAACCACCTTAGGACAGAGTCAGTCTAAGTTTTTTTTGCACATGAATCCATCAAATGTCACCTGCAAAATACTGTTTTGCAGACCTAAAGTAGGCTATTTCAACTGTTTACAGCTGGGGTTCCCAAACATAATATATAATTCTATGTTTCTGACTTCTGAAACAGTTTACCAGTTCAAAAAAATTTTGGTTTATAAGTAAAATCATACAGAATTAGGTAAAGACAACAAGTATCCACCAATAGCAAAGGTGAGTATATTTCTGAGCTGTTAAACATAGGACCTGAGTTTTCCAGGACCCCATACAGGGTTAACATTATGATACGGACGTATATCGGAAAAAGAGGCAAATTTGTCCCTGTGGTCACTAGTGGTATTGCAACAAAAAAGTACCCTGCAGCCAAAACAGCACCTTCCTTAAAACCCAACGTGATATCATGGGATGGCATCTAAATAGCACGCCACTTCTTGGGCCAGAGACCAACTTACTGTCCTTCCATCCACCTCACTATCCACCACCTAATAGTCAGACTTTCATGGTTATTTATATCTGTCACGATCCTGTCCTGAGCTTGTCTGTGTTATATTATTTTGGCCATGCCTTTTCAGTGTTTTGATTTTGGTTTATCTCTGTCTGGGTTTCAGTCCTGTCTGTCTGTGGTCTTGTATCCAGTCTTCTGCTTGTTCTGTGTGGTGGTTCTGATCTGTCCTGTTATCTCGGTGTCTGCCTTAGTACTTTAGTTCTGTTCCTGTCCCTCATGTGTTGGTTAGGTGTCATTTATGTTCATTCAGCTCTAGTCTCTGTTTAGCCTTTATTATTCATCCACATCTTACTTAGTATCTGTCTTGCCTCTTTTCTTAGTTCTTAGTCCTGTACCATGAAGTTGCTGCTCTTGGATGTTACCAGTTTCCTGTACCCGTGAGTTCTGTTTGTCGTGCTTGGGATTAATAAACGCTGGAACTCAATCTCAGCTCACAGTGTCATGCGTTTGGGCTCTCTCCTGCTTTGTGCACCCAGTGATCCTGACAATATCCCACTCCTGGTCATTGTCATGTGACAGCTGGTGTAAAATGGCATGCTGTTTCTGCACAATATAAGTCAGTACAGACTGAACGTGTGAAATGACACACAAAAAGCAAAAAATGCATTGGAATATCACAAATGACTTTAGATATTGGTCAGCTATCTTAGTTTTAATCAATATTGAGGAGCAAAGTGTTCAATGATGCTGCAACAGGAAGTCTAAATGTGATGTTTGTTTCCACAGGAGAGTCTAATGTGATTGGCTCACGTGAACCAGTTAAAGTAGTAGTCGGTGATGATGTCATTCTGCCATGCCACCTGGAGCCCCCATTCAATGTGAAGAATCAAACGGTGGAGTGGACATTCAATAACAGCATTGTGCACGTCTATAGAAATAGGAAGGACAAATTAGTTGATCAGGATCAGAAGTTCAAAGGTAGAACATCTCTCTTTCCTGATGAAATGACCAGAGGAAACATTTCACTGAAATTGACCAATGTCACTGAACAGGATGCAGGAAATTACACCTGCTATGTTCCCAAACTGCACAGTCAGATCAGCAAAGGCAACGTTACCCTCATTGTTGGTGAGTACAGTTAAAACTGATACATTATGTGTAAACATTATATATTTGTAAATTGTTAAAATTATTTTAACACTTCAATACAACATACACAATTACAATTTAACAACATTTTTCAACAGAACCAGTGAAAGACCACAGTAAGTAAATATCTTGACTTCTATTTATTTTTATCTTCATCAGCTGTCACAAACAAATCTACTTTTCCTGTAGGTAAGAATTTTTTCACATATTTTATTTCCCTTTTTTAAGTCTTTATTGTACCCTATAATATGCATGCAGATGTAACACCTGAGTCATTCATCCTACAAGAAAGAAGAATCTTTAAGTACTCAAGTGTTAAAGTACCTTCTGCTGGGGGACTGAGGAGAGTTTTGCTTTTATTAGTGTAGTCTGAGATGACAATTGAGTTCATTATGTGTTACACTTGTGTCAAATGTAAGGACGGAATTCAGAATTCCTCTAATTAGTTTTAAGACTTGTAGCAACCAAGCTTTTGGTGGTCATTGATCGTTCATTACAGAACAGTCTCTTTCTGCATGAGTCCTTGCACTGTTTTGTTCTCATTCTCATACGATTTTTGTGTCTTTAATTTAAAGCAGCTATAATTGATATTTTTATGATGGTGACAATGAGAATGGTGTCTCTAGGAGTGATGAACCTGTAGATACTTACCTGATAATCAAATCTGCACATCCCCTTGGCTCTATGAAGTTTTAGAAAAAGTTTCAGCTGTTCAGTTGCACATTCACTGTTTTGGTTCACACTCGCAGCTAAAGAGCCAGATATTTTCCTTAGGAAGTGGTGGAGACCAAAAGCAGAGCAAAAAAGAGAGATAATATTGGACTTTTATCAGGTAGACTAGCTTAATGTGTAAATAATCTGCTGCAAACAAATTCACCAAATTAATGTTAACTGTCCATGTTGTGTTTACAACTCAGTTTTTACAGCTTTGAATATGTACTGAATATATTGTCTTTTTCGAGACTATCTGTCAATGTGCTTTGTGACCATAAACAGAAGAAGCAGGTTTGGAAAAATGGTGGCTGTTATCTTTGAAGCCCACAGTAAAGAACAAATCTGAACATCTCTCCTCTATTCTTACAGGTGGTATTATTACCATTGTTGTTGCTGCCATCATCGTTGCTGCCATCATCGTTGCTGCCATCATCGTTGCTGTAAAGTAAGTCACACATTTCTCCTCTTCATTTCCCTATTTTAAAGTGTAACACTGTCTTCCCAGTGGTGAGCCCCAAGGTGGCCTCTGCCTTGTGTTTGGTGAAGTGTAGGGGAGAGGAGCAGCCTACACAATTACACACAAAGGTATATATAGTACAGTAATGTTGCTACAGACAGGGTGTATAATGGTACAGATATTTATAGTAATGTTTATGATAATAATATATAATAATAATAATAATAATAATAATAAATATAATAATACAATAGGACTAGTAACAATAATTGTAGCAGAGGATGTCGAGCAGGAACACAGGGGCAGCAGGTGACTTGCAACCACAGATCCAGACTCCACAGCTCCAGAGCCAGAACAACTGCAGGAGGTGATAGGAGGAGAGAGGAGAGGGACGAGAAAGCACAAGACTACCGGAAAGGGGAGAAGTCGAGTTAGTAACATGGATAATGGGATGAGGTTGCATACAGAGGGAGAGAAAGTGGAGGAGAGGAGCTCAGTGCATCATAGGAAATCCCCCGGCAGTCTAGGCCTATAGCAGCATAACTAAGGCTTGTTCAGGACTCACCTGAGCCAGCCCTAACTATAAGCTTATCAAAGAGGAAAGTCT